GAAGTAGTGCTAGTATGAGGAGAAACAGAAAGACAAGGAACATCAATATCAGCTCGAGATGGAGAAACTGTGCCTTCAAATCCTTAATCCAGTAGGTAAAGCCATACCTCCTGTACCTCTCCTAGTGGGTGGCATAGACTCCAAATTACTCAGAATCATAGAATCATAGAAGATTAGGATTGGAAGAGACCTCAGGAGTCATCTAGTCCAACCCCCTGCTCAAAGCAGGACCCACACCAACTAAATCACCCCAGCCAGGGCTTTGTCAAGCCGAGCCTTAAAAACCTCTAAGGATGGAGATTCCACCACCTCCCTAGGTAACCCATTCCAGTGCTTCACCACCCTCCTAGTGAAATAGTGTTTCCTAATATCTAACCTAGCCCTCCCACACTGCAACTTGAGACCATTGCTCTTTGTTCCATCATCTGCGACCACTGAGAACAGCTGAGCTCCATCCTCTTTGGAACCCCCCTTCAGGTAGTTGAAGGCTGCTATCAAATCCCCCCTCACTCTTCTCTTCTGCAAACTATACAAGCCCAGTTCCCTGAGCTTCTCCTCGTAAGTCATGTGCCCCAACCCCCAGATAATTTTCATTGCCCTCTGCTGGACTCTCCAATTTGTCCACATCCTTTCATCCTTCCTCACTTTAGGGAGGGGGATGACATGGATATATTTCTTATTGCTTTCGAAATGGGGTGTGAACTGAATAAGGTGGGGAAGGAGGACATGGTACAGTAGCTGACTCTAGTACTGTCTGGGACAAAGGTCTTGGACATTTTCACCTTTATGGGAAGGGAGGATTACAAAGATTAAAATAATTGTAAACAAGCTTTTGTGACAAAGTTTAAACTGACTCTTCGTATGCATAGGAGAAGGTTTCAGGAAATTCAGAAAAGAAAGGGATGTGACCTATGCTGAGGTTTCAACTCTAATTAGGAGTTCTGTAAGGAAATGGGGAACTGGTTGAGGGTCAAAATGGTCGATGAGTCCTACGAATTAATGGATATAAAAGTTCTATAAACTCCGCCACCCTGAACTGAAATCAAACAAAAATCCTAGAGATATCACTATAGCTGTGAAAATGGCAGACCATTATGTGGATAATCCTCAGTTTGATAGAAAACCTAACAGGCATGGAATGGGATCAGAGTCCAGGGACTGGGCCTAAACTGAGACCCAAACCCAGTGGGGAGGGAAACCGATGGGGAAAAGCGGTGTGCCATATATGGCCAGCAGAGTCACTTTATTTGGAATTGCCCAGGTTGCTCACTGAGTCCCACATACAGTGCTAGAAATGTCAGCTGAACATCAACCTCACAGAATTATCTGTGTGACTGAGAGAGGGAGGGAGGGAATCACATAACATTATAGGCCATCAGCAGACAGGCTAACACTGAACCATTTACACCCCAATCCTTTGCCTACAAGTCATGCTGCACCCTCCTGGGTGCAGATCCATGGCATAGCCACAGGGAGTGGAAGATGGTAATGTGACAGCGTACCCCATAAGGCTTTATGGGTGGGTGTTTACAAATGTATGTATGATATAACTGAAATATGTTTTGTGCTGCCTGTGACATGGTCTACTATATCTATTAATCCTTTGTACATATATACCATTTTCTACTTGAGGTTAAGAATATGGGCTGTATGCTTGCTTGATTTCTAAGTAAGCTTGGTGAGGCATTTGGTCAGCTTCTTTAGGAAGGAATTTGCCAGGTTAAGTACCTGATCGGGAAACACTTGGGGAACAGTGCATCTTGAAATGCTCCAATCCACATAAAAAGTCTTCCTGGAGACATGCAAGATACCATGTGGACAATGGCGTCGGCCTGTAAAGACTGAGTCGTGCAGGGGCATGTGACTTGCCCAGGTGACTCCAAAACTCCATCTTGGAGCTGGACTTTGCATAGGAGGGAGGAGGGGGGGGTCTCCTCCCACAAGAGAGAGTCTATTTAAACCTGGGGGAGACCCCTCCATTTTGTCTTCAGCTGGCTAAAGAAGGAGCCTCTCCACCCCCCCAGGATGCTTGACGGGAACTGAAACAAAAGACAGTAACTACAGGGGTTGTGAGAGATTGCTGGACCCAGGCTAAAGGGAGATTAGCCTGTGAAAGGGAGCATTCTGGAACTGGTGAGGAACTTATCTGTATTTAGTTTGATTAGGCATAGATTTGCGCATTTTATTTTATTTTGCTTGTGACTTACTTTGTTCTGTCTGTTACTACTTGGAACCACTTAAATCCTACTGTTTGTATTTAATAAAATCACTTTTTATTTAGTAATTTACTCAGAGTATGTATTAATACCTGGGGGAGCAAACAACTGTGCATATCTCTCTATCTGTGTTATAGAGGGCGAACAATTTATGAGTTTGCCCTGCATAAGCTTTATGCAGGGTAAAACGGATTTATCTGGGTTTAGACCCCATTGGGAGTTGGGCATCTGAGTGCTAAAGACAAGCACACTCCTGTGAGCTGTTTTTGGGTAAACTTGCAGTTTTGGGACAAGTGATTCAGACCCTTGGTCTGTGTTGGAGTCAGACAAGAGTGTCTGACTCAGCAAGACTGGGTGCTGGAGTCCTGAGCTGGCAGGGAAAACAGAAGCAGGGGTAGTCTTGGCACATCAGGTGGCAGCTCCCAAGGGGGTTTCTGTGATCCAACCCGTCACAGGTAATCAATGGGGAGACATTCACTAGATGGAGAGATACTAGAACTAAGATAGTGATAGGTTTCAGAGTGGTAGCCGTGTTAGTCTTAGCCCACGAAAGCTTATGCTCAAATAAATTTGTTAGTCTCTAAGGTGCGACACGTACTCATCGTTCTTAGAACTAAGATGACAGTTAAGCCCCATGTTGTGAAACACATGAAACGCTGCCAGGATGTGTAATGTGGGTTCAAGTTCCTGGTATAAAAGCCTTCACTCTACATAAAGATTTCTGTACAGACCCAGGAAGAGTCTGGGATGCTGGTTGCAGGTATATTGTAACATATTCCATATTCTTTGCTTTTGGGGAATGATATTGTGGTTTCAAAGCAGAAAAGATAAAGCAGGTCTCCTCTGTTAGTCCCAGAGTGGCAAGAGATTGTTTTAGAGTGGTAGCCGTGTTAGTCTGTATCAGCAAAAAGAATGAGGAGTAACACAAGAGATTGTGTTAGCCAAAATGCTAATGGGATAGCTGACAGGGATGGATCTCCGCGATCCGCATCCAAGAGGAATCAAGTTACTTTCTCAGTGTAGGCAAACAAATACCTGAGCAGCAGGATTGATAAGACCTACTGACTTGAAGTGGAATTCTCTAGGTCCTAAAACCTAGATCAGGGAAATAAGCTCTCTGCCTACTATTACCAGGCACTCAGGGGAAGTACAGAGCATGGTGAATGCAGTATTTCCATCCAAAAGTAGGGACACTGTGGCAGCTGTGGTGTACTGCAAAAACTATGACATCCACCCTAGGATGGGAAATGCCCAAGTAGGGTGTAAGACATCTGTTTGGGAGATGACAAAGGTAACTGTTGCCAGGAAGGAGGGGAGACTTTTTCCTGCAATCATTGACTGCCTGATGGTCTGTAAAAATGTAATAGACCCTGAGCAAAGTGGGAGAAGGAATTTTGTTCACCTTGATTCAGCCTGTGGGGAACATTAGGCCACCCCCGTAGGGTGGGGGGAACAATGCTCCTCCCCCTTCCTCCAAAGAAGCAGGGGTTAGGCTGTTGAAGTCCCCGGGCAGGTGGGGGGAAAACCTATGGGGAGGTGGGACAGAGAAAAGAATCTGGCAATGGCAGAGGTTTGAAAAACTCTCCCTCGCCTGATTCTTCTGCTGTTAAAAGCAGCACATGGTTGAGAGTTGCTTCACAAGGATCCAGTCGTGATATATTTCTCCCTATGGCCCAAAGAATTGCTTCTTGTAACACCTCCAGGTGAGGAAGCAACCAACCACTTGAATGACAAAGGGACATTATACACACTCTCTAGTAACTGAATGGTATAAGTGGGAGCACTAGGTCTCAAGTGTACAAGCAACAGGGAGTAACGGGAAAGAAGAGCCATATGAAAGCTCAGCCGCACAGGTTCTTAAGATAGAAAATATGCTGGATGGTTATCAGATGACTCTGTATGGATTTCTGACTGGTGTATGCTGACTTACTAGCAGAATGTTTATTATCTGAATAGTTGAAATGGGAAATTATGAAAGGTAACAGCAGAAATGCCTCCAGGAAATAAACCTGTCCAGGCACTAAGTCTATCAGTTTCTTTAAACAGCTCCAAGGGTTGCACCCTAGCACACGGTTTGCAGTGTCACTCACTCAAATTAGGCCAAGCCACCCCTCTGTCACGATGGATAGGTGGCCAGACCAAACCTGAGTGGCGCTGAGACCCCATGTTTCGGGAGTGAGGAGTCATGCCCAGCCCTGTGGGACAGGAGCCACCATTGCAGGCTTACTTTCCAACCCCCATATTCCCTGCGGCTTCTCCTGCACACCAGTTTTAGGGTTGCGGTGCAGGCGGAGGGTGCATTATATATATACACATATATAATGGTGGATTGCAAAAAAAGACAAAATACAGCTGGTGGGTCACCTTAGTTAAAAAAAGTTAGGGAACCATTGGATTAGAATCTCAAAAATTAATGTTGGGTTCAAATATTTATTCTTAAAAGAATGTAATTAATTAATTTTAAATTAATTCTTTTCCGTTTACTGCAGAGATTTGTTCTGAAAGGGGTAAATTTAGCTAATTTGGGTAAAGTATCTCTCAGATGATATGTTTATATATGTGGTGGGGACAGTGGGAACAAGTGGGACAATTTCTGATGAAAACTTTCTTATAACAGTACAGATTACCAGATTTTGGAAGTTACAGATTAATATTACTTTTCTCAGCAGTTTTAACTGTGATAGTGCTTGCAAAGGTAGATACGATCAACAATTTGTAGCCAATAATGCTGAATAAAATAAAATTCAGTCAGAAAAAATACTTTAACTTTAAGAACATTCTTACCTCCCCATTTTCTACAACAGCCATTGAGCACATCTGTCCACAAGCTATATTAACAGCTATCTTATTTTGTAGGCAGCTGGTAACTCTTCGAGGAATTGGCTGATTAGCTGTTGAACCAGATCCAACCTGTCCTGAATTATTATAACCCCATGCATACACCTGTTATAAAAGAGTCATTAACAGATAAGACTGTAACATGGATATTTGATTAAAGTAATAAGTTATATAAACTGCACATATTAAAAAAATACATTCTAAACATATGTGGATTACAGGACTACAGCAATTATTTTCTGTGCATCTAGGAAAGACACAGAAATGTTTGTTTCCTTTTTTATTTTCTTCCAGAAATCTGTCACTCCTTTCAACTCTAATTTCTAATGCTCGACTAGTTAAAAAAACAAGAAGAAATCCCTCCCTACTATCAAAGATTATGCATCCTGTGGGGTATACTTGTGATTCTTTGTCTACAGAGTTACTGGAAGAAAACAAAATAAGTATACTTGTGATTCTTTGTCTACAGAGTAACTGGAAGAAAACAAAATAGGTATACTTGTGATTCTTTGTCTACAGAGTTACTGAAAGAAAACAAAATAGGACAAGTAATTGGACACCAACAATATCTCAGAGTGTAACAGAACAATACTTTGTACCTCAATGGGTTTACATATTTAACTATGGTGATCCTTCCACATATGCACAGAGTTTAATTTACTGCCAAATTTAATGGTGTGAACAAATTTTTCACAGCAGGGCATAATGGGAGAGGTCACAGATATTTTTAGCCAGCCTTTGCAATACCAAGTGCTGTTCTTTCATTAGGATCAGCTATCCCATAAGCAACTTCCTGCAATTGTAGGTGGACAAACATTGATAAACCTCAGATCTTCCCATTATTATTAAATACTTATATCACAGCAGCACCTAGAGGACAGCCAGGCCAGGTCCCATTGTGCTAGGTATTGTATGTTTTTCTGTTTCCAGCATCCTATATAAATTCCATATAAAGGAAAAGGCAGTTTATGCAGATTTATGCTATTCTCACCTCTCCATCAGATGTTAACACCATGGAATGGTGGGAGCCACAGGCGACTTCAATTACTTTCTTGTTTACCAAGTTAGTAGAGACTTGACAGGGAACTAAACCATGATTTGTTGTACCATTGCCCAGTTGACTATAAGCATTATGGCCCCATGTGTACACTTCTCCTTCTATAATAAAAGTGTGAAAAATCAACTTTAAAACATCTACTTATCTAATGACGATGCATCACAAGATGACAGAAAATGAAAAAGTCAAGTTCAACAATGGTGCACACTTCCTATCTAAGGGCTGGTCTACACTGCCGCGCTAGTTCGGCGGCTGGGGATGGAAGTTCCGAGTTCGATTTATCGCGTCTGGTCTGGACGCGATAAATCGAACCAGGAAGTGATCCCCGTCGACTGCGGTACTCCAGCTCAACGAGAGGAGTACCGCGGAGTCGACGGGGAGCCTGCCTGCCGCGTGTGGACCGCGTCTGAACCGCGGTAAGTTCGAAGTAAGGTATGTCGAATTCAGCTACGTTATTCACGTAGCTGAATTTGCGTACCTTACTTCGACTTGGGGGGTAAGTGTAGACCAAGCCTAAGTATTTATATGCCCCTTAGGCTATTAGTCCCCTGTACACAAGAATGCTATTATTCCCCCAGTGTTCAATAAATGTCTAAAAGGGGAATACCAAGAGAATCACATTAAAAAAAAGTGATAGGAGATAGTGTGGTCCAGACGAGAGGACATAGGAATGGGAGTCAGATGAGACCTGAATTCTATTCCTAGCTCTGCCACTTCTGGCCCTGGTCAAGTAATTTGTCTCTGTGCCTTGGTTTTCTCATCAAAACCAGAATAATGATACTTTCCATTCTTTGTAAAGTACTTTGAGTTCCTCAGATGACACTGTCATTATTTATTAATAAATACTAATTAATAATATATTAATTATTAGTAGTAGTAGTATTCTTGAAATATGCCATCTCCACTTTGTATCCTTGAAAAGTATATTTTGAAGTGTTTTAGGAGCCATAGCATCCTATCAGAAAGGTTAAACAAATGTTTGATGTACCACTTCATCAGATATCTATTTTGATATGAACTAGAGAATAATTATTAATCCTTCCACAGAATCTATACCTTTGCATTTTCACTAATACTATATCAGTCTAAGAAACAGGATTGTCCATTTCACTCTCACAACTCAGGTCTCTCACAAATAATCAGGCCAACTGAAGAAGGCACGCATTTTAAAAATACAATATTCTCACCACACATTACCTGCAGTAGTAACAACAACATGGGGACCACTTCCATAGCTCAGACAGGCTATCTTTTTGCCACATAAAGTATCTAATCTCTGTGGTTCAATAGTGCTCTGAATGTCGCCTGTTCCCAAACAGCCACTGCAGTTGGTGCCAAGCACAAACACCTGTTATAAAATATTATTGTTAATGTAGCAAGTTCTTTATTACTACTGTAACATTTACCATTTAAATTAAAATAATCCATCCTAAACTTTCTTTATTCAATAATTAATGTATGATACTTCTCCAGGGTCTATTATCATAATTCTGGCTTCACTGCTAATCTATCCTGAATTAATAATGAATCAAATACTTACCAAATAATATTCCATTAATATACACTTTCTCTGATAATTACCTCATCATTTTCAGTTGCATACAACACTTCATTACCAGCACTGCCAAATACACAGGCTTGACGAATTAACTTCAGTTCTTCTTGAGAGCAGAGAGCAAAAATTGGCCATTTTCCAACATCCAACATCTTCAGGGCTGATAAGAAAGTAGCATGTATCACCTGCTGAGATTAAAAAGAGATATCAGATATTTAGAAAAAAGGAAAATGTTCAACCTTGTTCAATGAAAGGGCTAAATCTAAGGCCAGGTCTACACTACCGCGGTAGTTCGACGGCTGGCAATCGAACTTCCGGGTTCGATTTATCGCGTCTGGTCTGGACGCGATAAATCGATCCCGGAAGTGCTCGCCGTCGACTGCGGTACTCCAGCTCAGCGAGAGGAGTACCGCGGAGTCGACGGGGGAGCCTGCCTGCCGCGTATGGACTGCGTCTGAACCGCGGTAAGTTCGAACTAAGGTATGTCGACTTCAGCTACGTTATTCACGTAGCTGAAGTTGCGTACCTTAGATCGAATTGGGGTGTTAGTGTAGACCAGGCCTTAGGAAAAATTAAACAGTAGATAAGAAAGGGTATTACTTTCTTGCCCAAGCACAAAACAACATCTTATTTCAAAAGTAGGTTCTGGACGGACAGTGATTAAAAAAGAATCCATACACACCATGATAAAGAACAAAAGAAAAAATAGAGAAAAGCACCAAATAATGTGTAGACATACTGAGACAATCAGTTCTGTCTCTAGTTTTCCAAAATTTATATTTCCGAAATTAAATTCCCTTGCTTCCAAGAGGGAACAAGAAGTTATTTTTATGGACGTAGTTTGTGCAGCTTAAGTTCAATGGTCTGTTTCTTGGACTATGATGAACATAATTAATGGTTTTCCCTTTCAATATGTTATGCATGGTTGAACTGTATTACCTACGACTAATTTAGGCCCTTATTCCACAAACATTTAGGCTAGGTCTACCCTACCCGCCTGAATCGGCGGGTAGAAATCGATCTCTCGGGGATCGATTTATCGCGTCCCATCGGGACGCGACAATCGATCCCCGAATCGACGCTCTTACTCCACCAGCGAAGGTGGGAGTAAGCGCCGTCGACGGGAAGCCGCAGAGGTCGATTTTGCCGCCGTCCCTACAGCGGGGTAAGTCGGCTGCGATACGTCGAATTCAGCTACGCTATTCGCGTAGCTGAATTTGCGTATCTTAAATCGACCCCCCTCTGTAGTGAAGATGTAGCCTTAGATTCTGATCCAAAACCCACTGAAGTCAATGGAAAGACATTCATTGATTTCAATGGGCTTTGGAGCCTAAGTCTTACTTCAGTGGGACTACACCTGTTAGTAAGAGTTTGCAGGATCTAGCTTTCTTTCCAATGGCTGTACAGCACTAAGAACAATGTTTGTTAGCAGCCACTATTCAGTAAGACACTTAAGAATATGTCTAGATAGAGGCATGACAATAGCCCAACTGTAGTCAATGCAGCTATTCGTCATGAAAGCTAAGCACATGCTTAAGTGCCTTGCTAAATGAAGGTCTAAATAATGATCATAAGCGCTTGAAAAACTCCATTAAAGTGAAACTATATGCAGTATATGCTACTGAATAGGAGAATTCACCCATGGCTTGTGGCCCCTTTGTTCCAGCTAGTGCATAGGACCCATAAAGGGTTTCCCCTGCCCCTCTCCACGGGGAATACATGTGCACAGTCGGCTCTGTGCAGGAGCCAGAGAGCCAACTTTACACCCCCCCACACACATAGGAGACTGTATCACCTGCTGAGGCTCTGGGAGTATTCTGCATGGATGGGGGAGTGACTGCGTGATCCTACACCCTGGCAATTCTATACCAGCGCAATGGCCCCTACAGGCCACTGCAACAAGGACAGAAGTTAGTCTTTTGGACTGCCCTATCCTGTGATGGAGGATGAACCAGCCCCCCAATAGATCTCTAAATGAAAACCAGGGTGGATAAAAATCAATTATTTAAAAAAAAATAAAAATAAAAAAAATCCGATTTTTTTTATTTAAATCGGATTTTTTTCATAAAATGCTTTTTGAGGAAAAAACCTATCTCAAGATAGTTTTAATTAAGATACATTATAGCTCAAAGATATCTCATCATGGAATAGGGATTATAAATTATAATTCTGTAGTATGAGACAATATATTCATGTTATGTTTAAGAGAAGTTTTGTAAATGAGTTCCAATAGTTCATGGAATAGGGACCCAATTTTATGGGCTTCCCGGGGCTTCTGTACAGATTATTTAGGATAATCTTTCTATCTACCCAATGGGACTCATTGCTCAGTCTAGAACAGGGGCGGGCAAACTTTTTGGCCTGAGGGCCACATCAGGTTTTGGAAATTGTATGAAGGGACCCCCCCATTTGCCCCTCCCTGGGACTCCTGCCCCATCCAACCCCCCCCGTTCTCTGACTGCCCCATCCACACACCCCCTGCACCCTGACCGCCCCCAGAACCTCTGCCTGCCCCCCACCGGCCTATCCAACCCCCCCTCTCATTCCTGACTGCCCCCCCGGAATCCCTGCCCCATCCAACCATCCCTTCTCCCTGTCCCCTGACTGGCCCGGGAACCCCTGCCCCTGACTGCCCCCCCCATCCAACCCCTCCTCTCATTCCTGACTGCCCCCCCCGGATCCCTGCCCCCATTCAACCCCCCTGTTCCCTGCCCTCTGACCGCCCCGACCCCTATCCACACTCCCACCCCCTGACCACTACCCCGAACTCCCCTGCCCCCTTCAGCCATGCCACCTGGTGGGAGCAAGCCACGCCATCGCCACAGCGTAGCAAAGAGCACCGGGTCAGGCTGGGCTCTGCAGCTGCACTGCCCCAGAAGCTCGCAGCCCCGCCGCCCAGAGCATTGCACCAGCGACGGAGTTAGCTGAGGCTGTAGGGGAGGGGGAACAGCAGGGGAGGGGCCTGGGGTAGCCTCCTGGGCCAGGAGCTCAGGGGCCGGGCAGGAGGGTCCCACGGGCCGGATGTGGCCCGCGGGCCGTAGTTTGCCCACCTCTGATCTAGAAGATACCATCAGAAATGCTTAGTTTTGCAGCTCTCAAACTGTGGATTTGTGTCTCCAGAGATAACATGCTTGTTAACAGCAAAACATTTTTAAAATAAATAAATAATGTATAGAGGTGAGAAATAATAACAGACCTCAACCCTATTGTCCCTCTGTAAATTTGTGTACACAGAGTAAATCCCTTACCTCTCTCTGAAAGTGCAAAGTTTCAAAAAGTTCAATGAATAGAAGATTGTTGGGGGTGGAATAGATCTGGACAAGGAGAAGAAGTCTGGAGATAAATGTGAGAAGGAAGGGACAAAAGTGAAACTGTTTGAGCAGCATATTCCAGAAGTCTTCAGGTCTTTCTGAGTGTAGCCTTCATTGATTTGAGATCTACCATACCATTCTCTCACTACAAGGGCAAACCTATAATGGCAACAGGCCGTAAAAGAGACCCAGTTTAGGAATGAGAACCATTCAAGAAATATATGTTTGCTGATGATGTTTTAAAGAAAGTCACACCAGTGAACTGGTGGAAGTCACTTAAGCACTTGGATTCAGAGACCGTTGAAGTGATAATCTCACTTTTAACAGCAGTAGCTTCTTCTGCCAGTGTAGAAAGAATATTTTCTTCCTTTGGACTAATTCATTCCAAACTGAGAAATCATTTGGGACCTGAAAAAGCAGGAAAGCTTGTTTTTCTTTTCCAGATTATGAACAAACAGGAAAATGAAGGTGAAGATGACTGAGTTAGCTGCAGAAGCCAATATTTTAAGTTTCTCGTGTTGACCTGGCTGACACAGTTGATTTAATTTTTTTTTTAATATTTCATTCAACTATTTTAGTTAAAATTGTTTTTAACAAAAACAAACCTGATTTAAAAAAAATTGACTGTTTAACTAAATTCAAAAATTCATATGCTTGTTTTGTTAAAATATTATACGTTTGCTGTTGAAGAAAAAAATCCAGAATACATAACAATGTTGTTTTAGTTAAATAAAACAATTTAAATGCCTGTCTGGTGATGTTCTCCTCCTAATACAGCATGGCAAGAAAATCCTCCAAATATTAATGATTAACCTATTGAATTGGAGATATTTATGAAGTCATTGGGAGGTAAACTATCTCCTTCAATTACCTTTGGTAAATGAAATAACCAAACAATCATTCATTTTCTGATATAGTGTAAAACTAATCTGAAAAGTTTTCAAAATAAATCACTTTAAAAATGTATAGTGTGTACCTTCTAAAAATGAAGCCTACATCTATCTCTGAGTTGCGAAGAATATTAAGGTTATAACAACCAACAAGAATGCACTTTAATGTAAAAATCCATGATTAAATCGAGTCTTCCTGACTAGTGATTTAAATCAATTTGAATCATGATTTAAATCAATTTGATTTAAATCAAATCAACCCTGATCAAAACAAACTATTTATTTATTTCAAATTCTTAGCTATGACATTTCTGCAATATTTGTAAAGACCTACTTTTTCAGTTTAGTCTAATCTGGATGTTAGTTACAATCTGTGGTAAACAATGAAACCTTAAGTAATAGCCTAGCCCCACTAAAGTAAATGGCAAAAAAGAGTGAGGATTTCACCTCTTGTTTCTTATTTTTATGTATTAGTTTTTAAAGGAGAGAATTTAAATAGATTTCATTTTAAGCCAACAATTCTAAAATAGTCAAACAAAATGTTTTAAAGTAATATGTACTTCATACAAATTAGTCCATCAGAGAGATTAAAATAGCAGTCAGTCCTTTATTAAGAGGAGGTAGGAAAGGGAAAGGATTTAATAATAGATATTTTAAAAAACCCACAATTATTAATAAATATTCATTGTAAAACAAGCATTTCAAACCTGTTCTTCATATAACTCCCCAATCATATACTACAAGATATTAAAAACTTTTTAAAATTCATAATCCCCATTACATTACCAAATCTACTGATGAAAAAAGAAAAACTCCTTTAAAAGTCTACCCAAGAACACTCTTGCGCTTGAAAAATATCCAAATTTATTTTCAGGCATCTGAAATAACAAAGGCTTCGTTATCTTCCTCCTTTGTGGTTTTAGATGTATCTGTTTCAACACTGCTTCAGATCACTAAATATATAATCTATATGAATTTATTTAT